CCCCGTTTCCGTTTTCTTTGTAAGGTAAGGTGTGATTGAAAAAAAAACTAATAGAAAATTAAGCCATTACACCCATCCTCTTACATTTCTTTTACTTCGTTATATTGCTTTTCTTTTCATCGCCGACGCTCTATTTTTTTCTTTGAAAAACCAAACCAAAAAAGACGCGATAATAAAAAAAAAAAAAAAAGATTATTGACATTTTAAGATTTTAAAGACCGTAAGCACATCTTGAAATTAAGTAAAAACTTGAATACTGATGACATGAGGGAGGCAACTCAGGCTAATATTTGCGTTCATATTGAATGTATTTACTTCCCTTTAGTTGAGGAAACCTACGTTTTCATTTGTTTCATCATCTTATTTTTGTTTTGTTTTTATAAGTTACAGTAAAATGTGTCAGTCATTCCTTTGAAATTAGTTTTATGGCTTGAAATCTCTCGGAAATTTTTTTAATGTATATTTTTTTTCGGCTGATTCTTCTATTTTACTTTTTAAAAACTTTAAAAAATTTATTTTTACTTCGCCCCAAAAGGGAAATTTAAGCCTTTTTGGAAAAAAATCTGTTTAAATTTACATTAAAAAATTTTAAAAAATTTTTCCGTCGGCCCCTAAAAATCAAACTTTTAAAACATTTTCCTAACCTGTTTAATGGTATTGTTTAAATTTCCCCATCAAATATTGTTTCTTTAAAAAAAGGGAAATTTTAAAGGGGAAACCCAGGGTCCACAAAATTCGATCCCGAATTTAAATGCAAAAAGACAAATGAGCTGGTGTTTTCCAAAACGTCACATTTATAGTTGCAAACAAACACAGAAAATGTATATTTTTTTTGTGCAACACATTTAAAAACCCGTTTAAGTTTCACGGTCCCACAAAAACCTGGGGTTCAGTAAAAGAAATAATCCGAAAAAATTTTAAATTTGTATAAAAATATCCTTCCCAATGGGGAAATAAAAACCTTTAAATTTAAAGGACGCTATTATAGTCATGATTGTTGTTTTAAAAATTGATGACGGAGGGGATCGAAGGGGGAAAGTTTCTGGGGCAAAAAAAATTTGAAATTTCCCTTTTCCCCAAAACCCATGGGTTAACCTTTTTTTTTTATGCTAAAAAAAACCTTTTTTTGGTTTTTTTTGGACCCCAAAAAAAAGCCCTTTTGGAGTCGATATAAAAAACCCAATTTTTTAATGAAATGTCGTTTTTTGGGTTTTTATGAAATTTTTTTATTTAATTTTTAAAGATCTTCTTAAAAACAATCCCATTTCTGTAAAAAAAAAAGCATTGAAGACCCTTTTAACTTGGGCCCTTATAAAATGTTTTGGGTCCCAGTTTTTTTTAAGGGTTTAAACAATAAAATGAAATGATTAAGCGCGTGATTTATGTATATCTTTTAAAAACTTTCCTTTTAAAAAGGATAGGGGAACAAATATTTCCTTTTTTGTTTACTCACCCCCTTTCTTTTTTTTTTGTTTCCCAAAAGCTTTAAAAAGGGGTGATATTTTTGTATAGTGGGGGTTTTTTTGCCCCAAAAATTTTTTTAACCCCTAATTTAAAACAATTAAAATAAAAAATAAACCCTTTAAATTTTCTTTTTGGAAGGGCAAAGAACCCCAAACAAAATCAAAAATAAACCAAACCCAAATTAAAAATATTTCGAAAAATGATGGAAAAGACCTTACTTTTTTTAAGTTTTAAAAGTGGATACTGTTTTAAATCCGTAAAAATTTAATTTGATAATTTCCAATTGAAAATTTTTCTGAAAAGTTTTTGAAAAATACCCCCTTTTTCCCAATCCCAAAAACTCCCTTTTTGATGACTTTTGGCATAAAAATATCCTACCGACAATAAACTGCCGTATCTTTATAAAAATTTTAAAAAACAAATGACAACAATCAGCCCGAAGAATAAGTAATCAATCCATTTTTCCTGAGCCCCTTTAAAATTTTTTCCCTTTTTTCCCTTCGTTTTTGAATGTTTCAACATTTTAATTGACCGTATTTTTTTCTTAAATCCTCAAAAATTTTTCCCTTTTTTTAAAAAAGGGGTGTATGACTAAAATCCAAATAAATCCCCGGGAATCAAACACAATTTTTTTCCCTCCGTGAAAAAACCCCAATTTTTAAAAAAATGGTTTGCCGCTTACATTTAACAAACCGGGTTTAAAATATCTTTTCGAATAAGTAACAAAATATGGATGGGGGGTTTTGGATTTTTTTCCCCTACAAAAATTTTTGTTTCTTTTATAAAAAAAAAGCTTTCTTTCATATTTTTTTTTTTTTAATAAAAAAAATATTTTAACCCGGGTTCATTAAACGTTGTTTGGGGTCAAAACTTTTTTTTCACTAAAGGGACTTTTTTTGAAAATTTAATGGGGAAACTCCGCCCTTAAAGGGGCTATAAATTTGGGGAAAAGCAGTTTTTAATAGTAACGAAATTTTGGGGGAAATTTTTCCCCGTTTTTAAAGAAAAAAAAAAGAAAATTTGTTTGTTTGTTGTGAAAGAGAAATTTTTTTATTTTTTTTGTGAATTTTAAAAACAGTTTTCAAACCCCACTTTTTAAATACTTTTTTTTAAAACCCCCAACTTTTTTAAAGCCCACCCCAAAAGGGAAATAATATTTTATTTCACAAAACCCCAAAAAAATTACCCCTCTATATTTTGCAATGATATGACAGACTTATTTTAATAAACTAGAAAAAAACAAAAATTATATTTTTGGTCCCAATTGGCATAAATTAAAAAAACCCAGTAAAGAGAACTCTGTTAACAATTTTCAAAAATTTAAATTTTTTTAAAGTACTTTTAGTATAATATAGTTAATCGAAGAACAAATGGCGACCTCTGTGGCTGCGTAACATGCAAAAATGTTAGTGCCATAGATTTATTTATTTATTTATTTGTCTTAGTAGCATGTTTCACTTTATTTCTAAACTAATTGTATTAGATTTTTGGCCCATGTGTTTTCACGCTCACTGTCCTGCTGAAGTTGTTTTGATCATGATGATGCATTTGTTAAGACTCAACCAACTGTCATATATCAGAGATCTAAATTATGGGATCAAAATACATATATTAATTGTCAATGTTTGGTGTCTTTAAAAACCAGATATATATTAAAGGGAAAACAAATTTTAATGAAATCCCCTTCTTCATCATTCACTGTTTAACATAATATCAATATTTTTAATTCATTTTGCAACGCACTTTCTTCTGTACATGAGTACATTGTATTTTAATTATATGCCAAAATATCCCAACAAATATTAATGAATCGGCCTAAGTCAATTCAAATTTATATGTAATATTTAATAACACTTGGTGTTTACAGGTCATATAATTTAATCCGTACCCTAACAATAACAAATAACTGTTTAATTATTCAATGTTTCTAATTGCTATAAAACTTATAATTAAACTACATGTATTCTTCAGATGTAAATGAGAAGTTCGCAAAAAAGGTACAGATATATCTAAGACTAATAATTTTTGAAATATCATATTTTACATGAAATTTTATATTTTCGCGCCATAGGTAGCACCTAATTTCATATTACTAGATATGTAAATTTGAAACGTATTTTAAATGAGGTTCGAAGGCAGTTTACTGTTGCACTCAAAAAAAAGTTGATTAGAGTGGCCTCCCCTTATAATTTCGTAAGGGGTCAAAAGGGAGATTACTGTTAAACTCAAAATTTAGACGGTTAGAGTTGCCGCCACTGATAACATTGCAAATGGTGAGAGGGTTCCAAGGGAGGTTACTGTTGCACTCAACATCGAGTCGGTTACAGTGACCTCCCCTGATAATTTTGCAAATGACGTTAGGGTCCAAAAGGGTGGTACTGTTGCGCTCAAAATCGCGTCAGTTAGAGTGACCTCCCCTGACAGTATTGCAAATGGTATAAAGATTCAAAGGTAGGTTACTGTTGCACTCAAAACAAGTCGGTTAGAGTGACTTTCCCTGATAACATTGCAAATGGTGTAAGGGTTCAAAAGGAGGTTACTTTTGCGCTCAGAATCGAATCGGTTACACTGACCTCCCCTGATAACGTTGCAAATATAAAAGTGTTCAAAGGGAGGTTACTGATGCGCTCCAATCAAGTCGGTTACAGTGACCTCCCCTGATAACATTGCAAATGGCGTAAGGGTTCAAAGGAGGGTTACTGTTGCGTTCTTAATCGAGTCGGTTAAAATGACCTACCCTGGAAATGTTTCAAATGGCATAAGTGGCGAAGATTAGCAGTAATATAGCATGTTTCTCGTTATCATTGTTCACATGATGTAACATATATATGTAACATAAAATACGAATGGTGTTGTTGTTGTTGTTTTGTATTATGCCGTCCATGCGTTCTGGCCAATTTCATAAAAATCTTATGGCACTATTTCTTCCATGATAAATTTAAACTGCTTTTATAGTTACAGAAAAAAATAGTTTGTCTAACCCAATATATAGTGACAGTACGATATATACTATTTTCAAGTTCTGCTTGTGTGGTTATAGATAGCTATAAGCGTTTAATAAAATAATTAAGAATTTGATGTTTTCACTACAATATACATAACAAAACAGTAACTTTTTTAAAATTTATTTTAAAATTCTTAACAAGTAAAACAATATAACAATAGCACATTATAAATGAAAGCACTTAGTCACGGGTTTGTCACATCTATCTAAATAGTTAAAAGTCTATTGCATAGGAAAGTCTACTTCTTGATCGTCTACTCGTCTTCTGTTTCTCTCCAGCCGTCCAAGATTTAGACTTGACCCGGAAATGACGTAAATCGGCTGCATGGTCCTCGTGTAGCATGGGCTTGTAGCTGATTGGATCACACAATTCTTGAAATTTGTAGAAGAACGCCTTGTACCCACTGTCGAGTAAATATATTTCAGGGTAGTTCAAAAGTGGGTACCTGTCTTTGTTCAACTCACGATCCTGACTTCTTAAGAAGCGATACCTGAAATGCATGAAAATCTATAGATTGAGCATATACTATAGTTACAGAAAATAAGTAGTATCTAGATACTAACTAGATTTTAATTTTAGACAAAACGCAATGATAGATATACATTTCTAGTCAAAACGCAACGATCTTTTTTTAATGAAAATTATTTAGGATTGATTAAGTACAACAATGTCAAAGAATAACTTACATTTTCGGACCTCTCTCTGACGAGAATTCACAATGAAAGATCAGTACACGTGGCTTCTCTGATGTCGGTGTTCCTTGAAGCAATGTGTTTACAGCGTCTTTTGTATAGAGGTTCACCGCCCCGCGGATATGACCACCCTCAAATTCGTAAGGATACCGACAGTCGACAACAGTTACGTTCCCTAGTTTTTCAGTGTATTTCCCCTCTAGAACGTCCGCCATTGTTTCCGAAGAGATTGATTTGAGATCGCCATGTTTTCCAGGAATTGTGGGTAATGTGTAACAACGACTTCCGTCTGCGACAAGTTCACGGGATTCTAAACGCTCAACAGCTTCGATGATGTTGTTGGAATTCTGAAATGCAAATATACGGTTACACTGATACATGTATAAACCGAAACAAAGTCAATCGTAATTAAGGACATTCATTCAGACATATTTAATTTAGCCTATGTCTATATATATATTTTTTTCTTTTATATCATTGCATTGAAATGTGTTACTCTGAAATTATATACTGTATATGATGAAGTACTATGTACGAATCAAGGAAATATAAGTTCTGTTCTATGTGAAAAGTTCTTGAAAACGTCTTTCCTATTTGAACAATTTCGGTCAAGTTCCAACTTCCGTTATGCGCACTGGAACAAATCTTTTGACCAAGATACGTACAAAAAAAAATTGTTTTCACAACGATTTGAATATGCCCGGTTTTTGTGTGTGTGGGAGGGGGGTGGAGGGGTTGCTATACATTGCATTTAAATAACTAATTTACGCGTCTTACCAAATAGTCGCCACCTTCCTTTGATTTCTTCGCTGCAGGAGATTCTACTTCAAGATTATCGTCTGCAAGTCGTTTTCCAGAAAACAAGCTTCTTCTAGCGTCGGCGGAATGGCGCGTGTTGGTGAAACGGGACGGAATCTTTATCTGTAAAATAAAACAAAAATGCATTATCCATAATAAACCCATAAAACATACATCTAAGTTAAATTATCGAATACAATATTAAATACCGCTTAAATGCCAGTGACAGTGGCCGTAAAAGATGTTGCATTTTACATCCTCTCGTAAACAGACAGGCAATGTCTGCAGTTTTTCAGATTTTTTATCTGGAGCGTACCAATTAAAGCGTTTGATTCCGTGATTTTTTTTTTCTGTCAATTCATTGAAGAAGTATAAATATTTCCATATAAATCCATAAACATGTAGACTTATAAAGTTGTTAAACAACTTATCAAAATCATAAGGATTACATAAATGTTTGTTTGTTTTTTGTTGTTGTCTTATTTTTTTTTCAATTAAAGAAAAAGGACTTACCGATAACTCGGCCCCTGAATCATCTTCTAGTTTGTCCTTTCCATACGGCGTTATTACAGCCTCGATCTCGTCCCAGATTTCACCGGAAGTTGTCTGCATCGGAGATTCCCCAGCGTTCTCAAACAAACGAAGTCTGAAAGTAAAGTGGTTGATGCCATTATATGTTATAAAACATAACTAACATTTCGTATGAAGTAAATTTTAGATGAATTATAACTAATTTTAACGCTTTATCTTTGAAAAAAGACAAAGGCGGTTGTTATTATATTGAACTAAACTGCTGAATATTTGTAATTATAAAACAAGTTGCGTATGAAAACAGAAATGGTTTAATTATTCTTCTTACGCCCATGAAACATGTAATAAAATGAAATTATCATATATTTATATTCCAAATATAAATTACATTCTTACCGTAAAGCCATATTTCGTTGTATATAAGTATAAAATCTGAAATTTTGCTTATATATTTAAACTGTTGTTTCATTAACTTATGAAGTTGTAATGCCTGAATTATAGAAAGCTCTTCTTATATATACTCTTGGTCAGTGTCTAATACTCTGTTCTCGTAATTATTAACTAATTATTTAGCTTCCGATATAGCTTTGAGCAGATTTTGTCCAAGCAATAAAAATTGAACAAATGCTGTGAAAAACATTTCCGTTTTTCCGGTATTTACAACTCCTTTAATTACAATTGTTATACGGGCATTTTTACACCTCTGCATTTTCCGGCTTGTGTGACAAAGTGAGCCGGATTAATGAAAAGATAATATTACTGTTTATTTTATTAATTGCAATTTTACACAATTTGCGATTTTTGTTTAGTTTATTAAAAAAAATGGCAAGATAGTATCTAAGGGAGGAGAAAATATTTTATGAAAAAAGTGAATAAATTAATCTACATATTTAATGATTTGTCTATAAATATATATATATAGTTATAGTTTTAAAATACTGCACATTTGTAACGTCGCTTTTCATTGGATAATTGTGACGTTTATAAAGTTTTATATACACGGCTGCTGTCGATTCATGAAGAAATCTTACTTTTTTCTCTAAAAATTATAAATTCGTTATAAAGATCGTTAACATGTTATATGGCCGTATATAAACGGCTGTTTGCAATATAACCCTCGCCTAACGGCTCGGGTTATATTTACAAATAGCCGTTTATATAGGGCAATATAACCTGTCAACGATCTTTATAACTAATAATATAAAGTTAACGCTAATGTTAATATATATGTTATTTCCATAATGAAATGGTCGATTCTCGAGAGTTCTAATAGCGAGCTCGACGAGCTGGCCCGAAGGGCCTGCTCGCAAAGCGAGCTTTACGGTAACGCGAGTACCTGCCAAGTGATGGTTTTGAAAACTTTCGTCCAAAGTACCGAATTGGACACATCGCAACCTTTCGAATTTAAAGATAACGATAAAAACCGAGGAATTCTGACTGAAAACGGATGTGTAGACTGGTCACCCGCGCAAGTCTATGGGAACCATAATTGGACAGGGAACCAGAATAACGGAAGCTGTGTATAAAAATTGAAAATCGAAGGCGCCATTTTGTTTGAAATCTGATAAATAAAAACAATTTTTTGTCGAATTTTGTTGTGAAAACTATCTAGAATGAAAGAAAATGGTCTAACTAAAAAAATGAATCGGAACACCAATATCATTTATTCAGTCGTTAACGCTGTACAGACGATTAAAGTATTGTTTACGTGACGTCACAATGTAGCGCCAAACAGCACGTGCAAAAAAAACAAATCAAGTACGCTATTTTAATGTCGCAAACGTTTTAAGTTTTACATTTATTTCACTTTAAATAATCTTTATTTCGCTTGAAAAAATATAGAGTGAAATAAAGTAAACAAAGTTTTATCAACGTTTTCAAAACTCGTTATTCATTTCACGACAGGGGCGGAGCCATATTTAACACAGTACGCGTGACGTCACACGCACTCGACACTGCATTTGAAATAAAAATGAGCGATAATTTCATACTATTTCGCGTAAGTACATCGAGCTCGCTTTGAGGCTTTGCCTTTTTCATATTATAGAAAGTTAGGGTGTCTCTTTTCACAATATTCCGGAAAGAAAATATCGTACTATTATTTTTAGTACGTTAATTTTTAACCGTTAAGCAATGGTTTTGTGCAAGGAAATAAACAAACATATCTTCTTATATATTTATACAAAGAAAGAAAACTTAAGGCTTTATATACTGAAGTATACTTATATCCAAAATATTTCGAATTTATAGAATCTTTTATTTTTACTTAATATTTTAGTACTTCCACTATTAGACATGGTGGATGATTTGGTACACTTTTGTGCATCGTGTTGTCGCTAGCGAAAGCACGACAAAGCGCCTGACGGCGCATTGTCGGACTTTCGTCTTGTCCTGTACGTCAAAACGGCGTGTTGTCGCGATGTTTTATTGTCGCTCGGCTCAAATCGAAGGATTTGCTACTTGTACATTTATAATACTGCACGTTTGTAACGTCGTTTTTCATTGGATAATCGTGCCGTTTATATTATTAGTTATAAAGATTGTTGGCAGGTTATATGGCCCTTTCTTGCATCTCAGACAGGATTATCTACCGTTTACACCGGTGCTAGAAAACTCTGTCTTACACCCCCCATGTAAGACAAGTCGCGTGTTTTAAATGACGTAATTGATGCGAGCCTTTTATGAATGAATCGCGTTCTTAGGATGACGTCATTTTTCCGTTATGAATGAAGTTGTAAGTTCATACGCTACTATAGAAAAAGTGCGTAATGAGAGTATAAGTTTTTCATAATTTCTTTTCCGAAAATAATTGACATGTAATATGCAAGAAAAAGAATCAAACACCGGCTGTTGGTACAGACCGGAATATCTAGCTCTCGGGTAACTGTTTAGCGGAAACTCGGCAGAGCCTCGTTACCGCCGTAAACAGTTACCCTCGAGCTAGATATTCCGGTCTGTACTGGCAGCCGGTGTATGATTCTTATAATATAAACGGCTATTTGTAAAGATAACCCGGCCGAGCTTATATAGTTTTATATACACGGCTGCTGCACATGTCGATTCATGGAGAAATTTTACTTTTTTCTCTAAAAAAATGATTCTTCTTGTATTATAAATTTGTTATACAGATTGTTGACAGGTTATATGGCCGTTTTGCAATATAACCTCGCCTGACGGCTCGGAAATAAATATTTCATGAGTGGCGGTAGCCACGAGTGAAATATGGTAATTTTCATGCCACAAGATGAAATTAAATCATGTATTTATAGAAAAAAACTTGAATTTTCTGTTTATTATATACATTTTTCTCTTTCTGGACATTAAATTTGAAAGACTTTCCCTTAAATTTTGAGTACTTGCAGAATTTAAAAGAAAGTAGTCCGGCAAGACACCAGTGAAAATACGGAAAATATGTTTCACTGCAGTGAAAAATAAATTTCTACAGTGAAAATACGGAAAATGAAAATACGCATTTTATTTCATCAATATTTCTCAATATTTCATTTAAAAGTATATAATAAAAACGGTTGTTTGCAATATAACCCTCGCCTGGCGGCTCGGGTTATATTTACAAACAAACCTGTCAACAATCTTTAAAACTAATAATATACACGGCTGCTGTCAGCTTATGAAGAAATCTCACGTTTTACTCTTAAAAAAGTGCTTGCTTAAGAAATAACATTGGCCTGAGAGGTGTATATCGGCTATTTAACACCGGTTTGGAGTTTTGATGCGTAGGAATTGACCACGATGGCCGCAGGCCTGAGTAGTTAATTTTGTCGCATCAAAACGACGAAACCGGTGTTAAATAGCCGATATACACCTCTCAGGCCAATGTTATTTCGATTCTATCACGATAAAATAAGGAAGATCACTAATGTTATTTTTTCAAGCGCAAATATCTTCCGGTGCCGATTTTCGTATAACGCTGTTCGATTTTCGCACCCTACTGTTGCAAAGATATAGAAATTATTAAACAAAATAAATAATGAGAAAAAAACTTTATTTTATCAAGTTTTCAACAAGTAATAGTTATAGAATATATACGAGGACTTTACCGGCTGGTATCAGCGCATGGGGCGACAACAAGAGTCAATCATAGGAAATTAATCGAGACGGAACGTCGAGATTAATTTCCATGATTGACCCTTTTGTCGCCCCATGCGCTGATACTAGCCGGTGAAGTCCGAGCTGTTTTATCGCATGACCATCTTCTCTCGTAATATTTTCTTTATTTAAACATACAAATATTTTAAGAAATATCCACAGAAATACACCATTAGATGCCGTTGAAGGAACTGGACATAAATAACCATTTCACGAGGTAAGTTGATGCATTTTTTCTACATGCGAAATAATAATCATCTTTTTAGCTCATTTTCAAAATATAATCTAGGAAATATTGTCGATAAGTATCCCGGTGTATATGTCAGAGTATATCTTGAACGCGTATTTTTTTAAAACTAACGACAATGTAGTGATTTTTTCTTAAAGGCACA